CCGTTCACATCGGTAAGTAGAGCTCAGTAAAGACTTGAATCCGTTCACATCGGTAAGTAGAGCTCAGTAAAGACTTGAATCCGTTCACATCGGTAGGTAGAGCTCAATAAAGACTTGAATCCGTTCACATCGGTAGGTCACGGCTGCAGGACTCGGGGGCAGGGGGCTGGTTTTGTGCTGCTGCTGCAACATCTGTCCTTAGCTGTCCCCAGAAGTGTTGTCCTGCTCCCTGGGACTGACCTGGACGTGGCATAAACCAGCCTTAGGGCGTGATTTAAGGCGTTGTGTTATCGCAGGTTCAGCTGATGTAGATCTGTCAGTGCTCTAGGGTTTCAGCTTTAAGTCAAGAGAGCTTTAAGCAACGCAAAATTAAACCAGTTCCTGTGTGTCAAACACTCCTCTCCTTCCCTGCAGCTGGTTGGTGTTCGCATTCCAGACCACCCCTTCATGAGAGACCTGGCACGAGCCTGCCCGGGACCGCTGGCTCTGACGAGCGCCAACATCAGCTCGCAGGGCAGCACCCTGACCGTGTTGGTGAGGTGTTACATTGTGCTCAGGCCATATTTTCCCCCTTTTCCCCGGGACCCCTGTGACTCTGATCAGATAAGCCTGGTCTCCTTCCAGCCCCAGCAGGGTTGGTGGAGAGCCAGAGAAGCTCTCCCTGTCCAGAGCCTGGATAAACCCATGACCTTTCCTGTTCACTCTCTTTGCCCCGCTCTTCCCCTCAGACCATGTAATAAAAAGAGCTGGACAACCACATCGGGGTGAGAGCCTCTGTTGGAAATCTTTGCCCATCTCCTGATGTTCCTCCCCTCAAGGTCTCGGATCTCTGGGCTAGCCTGATAATTTAGGGGCTGAGAGGGGAGAAATGTCAGTGAGGTTCTTCCATCCCTCTGGGATGTCACGGGGCAGTCTGGCAGAGCCCAGGCTCTCTCAGTTGAACTCAGCTTTAGCTTTAGCAATAAACCAAGGGTTGCTCTGCTGCTGTGTTTTTATTTTATTTAAATTATACAAGCCACTGTCAGGACTGTTACCCACAGCTCTCTTGCAGGAATTCCAGGACTTGTGGCCTCAGCTGTCCTTGGTCGTTGATGGAGGACCCATAGGAGACATCCAGAGCCCAGAGTGTCGCTTGGGGTCAACTGTGGTTGACTTATCTGTGTCAGGAAAATTCTCCATCATCCGGCCTGGCTGGTGAGTGCAGCTGGGGCTGTTCCTTTGCTTTAAATGAAACAAAACTTCTGGATAAGGGTGGGGCATGCATTACATTGCTTTGTTTTGTTTGCTTTGCTTCGCTTCCCACAGCAGTTCCACCATCCCATTAATGTTGATTAATTATGAGCACACACAGAAATCCTCAGGAGCTCTCAAATTCCCCTTTCTCACAGCTTATGTGTGAAGCTGTGGTTTCTGGAGTTCGTGCTCTCCTTGGCTCTAAGTTCAATCCTGTGTCTTGCTGATTGCTCTTCCCCAGAAAATGCAGATTTCATGCTCCAAACCCTTTGTTCTCATGGCTCTGTTTCTCCCTGCAGTGCACTAACGCCCACAGTTGAAATCCTGAAGAAGAAGTATGGCTTGGTACCAGAATCTTCCTAACCCTTGGGACTGGAAGCTGGTGGAGCTGGGCACTGTGTGCCTGTGCACTCAGGAGTGGGTGATCAAGGCCTTGTTGAATAAGGTCAATGGGTTATGTCAAGGTAAATAAAAAAATATTTAAAAAGAAAGGCTAGAAACCCCTTTTTGAGCTCTTTGTGCTGCTGTACTGTTCCCAAATGTTGTGTTATCCTGGTCAGGCTTTGAATACAGTGATAATGAAAGCTGAACTGTCAGGATGGTGTGGGGAAGGGCCTGTGTGCCCCCCCACTTCTGAGTGCTCATCCTGTGCCATCTGCACTGCAAGGAAAGCACACATGGAGTAGAGGGATTTGGAGCTTTGAGGTTTACAGCTGTGCTGTTCTTTTCTCTGTTCTAAATGTAATCAAAACCTACTGAGATGAAACTGTCAGTGCTTCTGAAAATTCAGTGTTCAGTACCCCAGGCTAGAACTGCTCAGAACAGCCTGCTTCCTCCTAATGCAGAGAATGAAATAAGCTCTTGGTGTGATGATCTTCCTTCATTTAAATGTAGAATTCTCTCTTGGTTTATCTCTGAAATGATGCTAAGCTGAAGTAAATGGGGCATGGATGAAAGTCTCCACTGGTATTGATCATTGATTGAAAAGTGAGGTCAGTGGGAAGCGAGGAGGGGGTGGTGTGGGGTGTGGGGCCAGGATCCTGGCTCTGAGGGGACAGCTCTGGCCTTGGGACACGTGTGGAGTGCCAGGGCCACTGCCCTGCCTGCAGCCAGCCCTTGCACAGCCTGCACTGGCATGGTTTTTCCAGTGTCCTGAGGGCCATGGAGGGGTTTTCTGTTATTGCTGCTCACAAGCAGCTGTGTCAGGCACTGTAAAGGATTGCACTGCACACACAGAATCATCACTGCCTGCCTGGAGCTTCTGCTGCAAAGCTCCCAAAGCAGCAGGCCGGGTCAGTTACTGTGATTTGCAGAGTGGGTGTGTGGTCTCTGCTCTTGCCTTGCCTTTCCCAGGTGAGTATGCTGGGGGATGGAGGGGCTGAGGGAAATCAGAGGGATCTGGGGGAAATCAGAGGGATCTGAGGGAAATCACTTCTTTAGCCTGCACAGGAGCCCTTGTGCTGCCTGCCTGCCCCAGTGCTGGTGGGCACTGCTCTGAGCAGAGGCTCTGCTGTAGTGGGGGGCAGAGTGGGGCACTGGGGGTCTCCCTGTGCTCAGTGGGTCTGGGCAGGTGACTCTGCACATCCCCCAGCTCACACCAGAGCCAGACCTGCTGCCCTGGTGCCCCCACAGCAGGGCTGTTTGGGGCTGGCTGTAACCTCCCACACCGTGAGCAATTTCCCTACTGGATTTGCAGTGAGCAGCCCCTGCCTCTTTCCTCAGCTCATCAGCTACTCATCCATCCTTGCTGGGCTCATCCATCACTCACACCTGCCATCTGGTTTCTGGGAGCTTGCAGGCCCCAAGTTGGGTCCCTGGGGGCTCCCCTGGCAGGGGAGACCCTCCTGGAGCAGTTCTGTGTTAGGAACAAGAGATGCATTGGACTTTTTCACTCTTCAGCTTCTCTTTATTGTTATCAAAACTTCAGCCCAGACCTTGCATGCGTGAAAACAGCACAAAAATGGCCAACAACCTCGTGCTGCAAGGTCTTTTTAAGTCTAATCAAAAACTAAACTACTCAATTAAGAAGTGACACCTAGATTATTTCCCTTTCTAACCCAATAACTGACCCCTAAACACCCGCAATGCAGATTTTTCTACCCAATTGCAAGATACCACCTAAACCCTGAAGAAAGAAGAAAAAGGAAGAAGAGAGAAGAAAGGAACTTGAGACAACATCCTATATCCTCCATCTTGAACCCATCTATAACATACTAAAAATCCTAAAACCTAAATTTCTCACCCATGTGACATCCTAAACTACTATCTACAATCTCTGCAATCTATTTCACACTTTTGTGATTTCTAGTTTACTTTGAGGCTTAGGAGTTTCTCCATGAATGAGGGTCAAAGTCAGTGTTTTCCTGTGAGTCAGACGTGGGGATATTCTCCTTGCCCTGGGTTCCCACAGCTTTCCCAGCTTTCCAAACATTTTCTCTTTTCTCAGTGATGTCTTTCCCTGCTCAGACAAGCTGATCTTGCACCATGAATAACTGGGTGCAGCTGTGCCCCTGCCCTGGGTGCTGGCAGAGGCACTTGGCTCTGCCCTGCACCACTGGAGCCATGGTCACCTACAGAACCACACAGCTGTGGGGCCTCCAGGAGCTGCTTCCCTGGCTGCAGCAGCTCCTCCTCCTCCTCTTCCTCCTCCTCCTCCCCTCCTTGGGGACTCTGAAACATGCTGGAAGTGGAGCGGAACCAGGAAGGGCTCCTTTCCTACAGCTGTATGGGGAGTGATGCTCCAGAGGTGAGGCACTGTCAGAACTCCAAATGTCCCTCAGACATTTTTGGACGTTCCAGGTCCAGGTCAGAAGCATTTGAGACCCTGGCAGACAGCTGGAAACAGCTGTGATTTTGGATTTGAGCCATGGAATGATTTACCAACCTTGCAGGAAGAACAAGAAGTCACAAAAGTTTAGATATTATAGTAGAAGTAGTCACAAAGTAGAGGGAAGAATTTTTGAGTGCTGTACAAGGGGGGTTTTGGTTTTGTACATGGGGGTCAGAGGGTTTAAGATGGAGGGATCTGGGCTTGCCCTGTCCTGCCTTTTTCTTCTTTCTTACCTGCATGTTCTTGGTGATGTTGACACTCACAGGTTGGTTTAGAGTAGAAAAGCACCATTTAATATAGGTAATAGGCATTGGGGAAAACTGTAACCATGTAACACGTAATGTACCATATAAAAGATAGAAAAGCACCATTTAATATAGGTAATAGGCATTGGGAAAAACTGTAACCATGTAACATGTAATGTACCATATAAAAGATAGAAAAGCACCATTTAATATAGGTAACAGGCATTGGGGAAAAACTGTAACCATGTAACACGTAATGTACATATAACAGACAGCAGCAGCCCTGGGCAGGGAGAAGAAGCAGTCGGGGTCAGAGAGGATGTCAGGGTGTGTGTGTGCCTCTGCCTGATCTGTGAGCAAACCACAGCAGCCCGAGAAGAAAATCTTTTAGACAACTTGCAATAAACTGTGTTGGGAAGGATGGATAAATATAATTGCCTGGCAGAAGATTCACAATTGTACAGCCAGGATGAAAACAATCCCCCTCCCACTGGCTGGACAATGCCCTTACCTACGGATAAGTCCAAAAGTCAAATGGACTGTTTGATCTCACCCCAATGTATGGTTCATCTCACACCTGTAACCCTCCCCTGAAGCATCAGGTGTCTGTGACCCCATTGGCCCAAGTCTTGTTCCAGCCCACCTCGAAGCCCCCTGATAAGGGGTCTCTGAGGGGCCAGACTCCCTCTTGGATCTCCCCCCCCTCTTAGAACTTCCACCCTCTCCTGGAGCATCCTTTCTACCCCCTGTCTCTCCCCTCCCCATCCCCTCAGGCCCTGCCACGTGCTGGGTCTGGCAGCTCCAAGCAAGACCTTTCACCATCCCTAATAAACCTGATATCCCAAGAGCAGCCTTCAGAGATCTCTCATCTCCATTCATCTAAACTGTCCTGGAGCACAGCGTTTTCTACAAAACTGCCTACAAAGACTGCTGAGCCTTTCTTTGGAAGCTCGGGTTGGAGGAGGAATTTTTCCACCACATGGAGCCACCCCGACCTAGGGTGAGCTCTGGCAAGGCACAGCCCTAGGGACGAGCTGCCTTGCCTGAATGGGACTGGCTCTGGTGGCTGCTTTGGGCTGCCCAGAGCCTCATCTTGGCATTTGTGGCATTTGTGAACAGCCGAGGAGGGCAGAGAGCTGGAGAAACATGTCACCATCTGTGGGACTCAGATTCAGTCAAAGGAAGAAACTGAGAGTTTCTAGCCAGGCAAAAGCCTGGGAAAGAGCTGGAGAAGAATGTAAATAATTTTTTCTCTCTCTTCTTTTTCACATTGTTTATAGTTAAGTTCTGTCACTGTGCGTCAAGCACTTTGCACCAATAGTTTGAGTTGTTTTCACTTCAGAACCAATGGAGTTGGTCCTTACAGAGCTCTGTATAAAAGAGCAGGGTATTTTGAATAAATCAGAGTTTTACTCTCACAACCTTGTGAGTCCAGTCTCTTCATTCCCATCCTGCCTCAACAGCCATCTCAACTGGTGCCTCTGCTCATGGCTCATTCCCTGCTGCCAGGGCTCGGTGTCCCTGCAAGTGACAACTTTATTTGTAGCAGCAGCAGTGTGAGGATGAGCCATGCATCAGGCACGGGTGAAAGGGCCAGTGCTGTCGTTCCCTTGCAGACACTGCAGGCACTATAAATTCCTTCTTTCCTCTGGTTTCTGGCTGGCTGTGGGGCACTGTGCTGTCAGCACCATGTGCTTGAGGTGACAAGCCTGTGTATCAGTGTCAGGGCACTGTCAGCACCTCTGGAATGTGCCAGCACGGAGCAAACCTGGGATTTGTTGCTTGTTCAAGTGTCCTTGGTACTTCCCAAACGAGGATCCTGCTGCTACACCAGGTGACTGCGGTGTGCTGTGAGCAGGGCACGTGCTGGTGGGACCTGTAGTGTCACCAGGACACCGTGACCTGTCTGGGGACACGGTGAAAACCCAGCCCCAGCCCAGCTGGGCCAGACACATCTGCTGGAGTGGGGAGGCACCTCTGGCAATATGCCAGGCAGGATTATAAACACCTTCATAAACCTCCTCACAGACCAGGGTGACCCTTGTGGAAATCACAGTGGTGTGAGCACTCAGAGCAGGAGATAACGTGGTTGGCATTTTAATCAGCACTTTGCTTTGCAAACAAAAATGCATCTGAAGAGCTTCACTGGCAGAGCCAGTGCAATCTCTGGTGGAGCAAATGAGCAGCACCAGGCCAGGCTGCCTGAGCCAGGCTGCTTGGAGGTGAAGCTGCTTGCTGTCTGTCCCTTTCCAGCCCTTCTGGAGCTGGTGGGAATGCTGGGGGATGCTCTGAGGCATCCCAGAGCCATAAGCAGGGAGAGGTTTTTCTCCATCACTGCAAACACAGATCTGATGCTGCTGCTACTGCCCTCCTTCTGCTTCCCACTACAATGAAAACCAGACTGATGCTAATTAAGCTGGAAACGCAAAACTGCAATTTGCAGCTGATTAAGTCTTTCAAACAGTATTTATGTTAATCTTCTTCTGGTTTATTTTCTTGTAATGCCTTAACTAGGAAATAGTCCAGAGGAAGTAGTCCTAGGAAATAGTCTGAGGAGATGCTTTCGGATGAAGCCCAGCCTGCCCTGCTGATTTAAGGAATTAATTAATTAATACATGAATTAATACTGATTTAAGGAATTAGTCTGTAGAAGTGTAGATAATATAGCCAGAAGGGACCTTGGGGTGATCTGGAGAGTCTGTTTCCCTCAGGCAGCATTCCCTCTTCCAGGTCACTGCAGGTACATTTGTCAGATTTGCTCTCAGCTCCCTTTTCTGGAGGATGCTCTGCCTGGCTGCTCTTCTTCCAATTTTCCAGTTCCTTAAAATGATATTTATTTGTAATGGAATTTTTCAGGGGCTTAGAGGTAACATGGTCTGTGTTC